ATACACATTTACAGTTAGAAATGCTAAGTGTAAGACATCGCTTGATCAGCATAGAGATATTTGAAAAGAATTCAAGATGAGAAGAGGTCAAAGAGCAAGAGAAATTGTGTATAAATGCAAAATGTGAAGAATGGCAGAGCTGGCTTAAGACCAATTAAAACAGCTTTTACCAGAGCTGAAAAACATTTGCATTTTAGTGTCAATACTGAGGTTTTGTCATAATGATAGAAAAAGCTTATCTGAACCACTTCAATCCTAGTGATTGAAATGACAAGTAAAGTTTCTGGGTGCATTACAACTCCCATAAGCCCTAAACAACCTTATCAGTGGTCATGCTGTCTGGGAGACTCCCGGAGTTGTAATGTTTTAGTACTTCCAGTTTTCCAAATTGTGTGTTTTAAACTTTCCCGTTTCTCGGGGCCCTTCTACAAAGCCATATAACCCAGGACATGGGTTATATGAGAGAGTATGACTTCCCAAGTTCATCCAGTGGGTTTCCATGACCCAGCAGAAATTTGTATCCTGGTCTCCCAGTTTCCTAGTCCAACACCTGAACCATTGCACCATGCTTGCTCTCAAGAACACATTATGGGCCCTTCCACACAGCCATATAACCCAGAATAATTCACAATATTAGCTTTAAACTGGATTATCTGAGTCCACACTGCCACATAATAAAGTTCAATGTGGATTTTACAGCTGTGTGGAAGGGGCCTAAGTCTGGACATCCAAAATGTGTGTTTTCTTGGACTGTTGCTTGTCTCCAAGCCAGCATTTCCCCCAGAAGTCTTATTTTCTGCCCAGAAAGTACTGTTTCGTGTAAAAACACAACAGAATAAATGGCCACTCTGCTTTTCATCACTTAAGAGATTGTAAACTAGATTTACAATCTTGTAACTCCTGCAGATTCATATACAGAGTCAATAATGACCACATGTGATCTTCAAAAGTTCATGGTCAGGTAAACATTGCAGATGTGATTTCCTAGGGCCCTTCCACACAGCCATATGCATTTTATACAGCTGTGTGGAAACGAATTTATTTATTATTTATTTACAATATTTATAGCCCACCTTTCTCAGCCATACGGCGACTCAAGGCGGTTTACAGATTGGCACAATTCAATGCCAGACATTCATAAAAGTGCAATTAAAAAGAATCAACATGACAATATAAAACATATATAAAAACCATTAAAACATATAATCATCGGTGTCATCCTGTTAAAAACATTTTCCAGTAACATTGTCTGGCCATTCCATGTTCATCGTTCATCATTCCATGTTATCTTCTCCACTGCATTCTCAAAAGATTGCTCAAAGAGCCATTTTTTTACCTTTTTTTGGAAAGTCAGGAGGGAAGGGGATGATCTAATATCCCTGGGGAGGGAGTTCCATAGTCAGGGGGCCACCACTGAGAAGGCCCTGTCCCTTGTTCTGCCAATTGCGCTTGCGAAGCAGAGAGCAGGGCCTCCCCAGATGATCTTAAGCTCCTAGATAGTTCATAGAAGGAGATATGTTTAGACAGGTAATCTGCAGTGCTTTGAAAAATCCTTGGTCGGGGCACTGCAAGGCTGAAAAAGAGAGTGGCATCTTCAGATATAACTATGAAAATGTGAATACATCATAATATTTTTGTTTAACAATACCATTATATGTAAACTTTGTGCAGAACAAGTCCACTAATGAATTTTTTTTCTGTATAGAATCTCAATTTCCTGTGCAGAAAACTATTTTCATAGTATTTTTATTTATAACAATATAATATAATATCTATGATATTTATAACAATATAACATTATTTGTGCCAAAAATTGTGGTTTCATTGCAATATCACCACATATAAATTTTGTATAAAACAAGCCCTGAACCATGAAGATTCTCATTATATTAAGAGGCTTCTATTTGGGATTTTTCTACATTTGAGAAATGTTTTTCTACCATGTTTTGAATATTTTTGAAATTTATTCTATGCCTAGAGTTCTTTGAAGTGGAAAGGAAAAGGGGGTCATAGTGAAAAACTTTTGCTTTATACTTTATCATTTTATTTGTAAAAACAGGGAGGATGCAGCCAGAGTGTGGTGAGAAGCCCTCACTAGGTGGGAGAGGAAGGCTGTGGTTGCATGATGGAGTGTCAGAAAGAGAGAGGCCTGAGAGAAATTGAGGCCCCTCTACTGCCAGATAATCAAGGTTATCAAAGAAGACAATTCACATTATCTGATTTGAACTAGATTATTTTAGGGCCGATCCAGATAGGCACAAAATGTGGGCCCTGATGGACTTTTACCAGGGGCGTCCAAACGACAGTAAAAGACAATTAACTTGGGACAAAGCAGGGAAACCCTACTTTGTCCTGAATCAATTTGATACCCCATTAGACCTGGGCCTTCCTGAAAGGCCTGAGTCTAATGCCACATGGTGAATGTGGGGACTCAGTTCACACTTTCCATTTTGCTTCTTCAAGTCCCATGAGGCCAGAGAAGTGAGATGGCAGCCAATTCCTCCCCCAACTCTCCCAAAGTAAAAGAAACCATGCTCCTCTCTGGTAGGCCTCCTGGCATGTAGAAATGACAAACCAGGATTCAGGGGGTGGGGAGCAAATTGCTCCCCCCCCCCCCGTACAAACACCTCTATGCATCAGGAGAGGTGCAATGGTGCCCTAATAAATTTTCTGTTATTTAAGGGCTTTGGAGGGGGGGAGAATTGGGGGTAGCCCTCATCCCCCCAGTAGTTACCAGGAGGACATGGGGACACCATCTGGGAAAGCCCAGGTTTTTGGGCAGGGCATGAAGACTTAAACCCACAATAAAACAAGTTTCTTTACCCCATTTTGTTGTTGGTTTCAGCCCTGTCTGGAAGCACTCTTAGTCTATACTTCCATATAATCCAGTTCAAAGCAGATAGTGTGGATTTTAGACAGTTGTGTTGAAGGGCCTTGAGATGAAGACTGGGGGCCCTTCCAGACAGGCCCAAAAATGCAGAGCCTATCATGCTTTTACTTGAGGCATCCAAACGATGCCTCAGGCAAAAGCCAATAATTCATATCAAAGCAGGTAAACCCTGCTTCGCTGCAAATTATTTATTTATTTATTTTATTTCAGGTTTTTATATCCCGTCCTATCTCAACCTCTGTAGAGGGACTCAGGATGGCTAACAAATCGGCACCCCATGGTGCTCACATCAAAAACATAAATACACAATTTAATGACAATATAATAACAACAATATAAAACAGTTATTTTTAAATACACCATGATATCTGTGCCTTCCTGAAAGGCCTGGGTTTAATGGAGTGTTGGGCCTGTGGGGAGTCACCCCTGGATAGTTCCAGGAGCAACTGGAACTTCCTGGGAGTAAGTGCCCATTGTCATCTCATACCTTTTGGGCACATGAAGCCCAAAGGCGCGAGATGGCACCCACCCTCTCTCCCAAACCCCTCAAAATTACCATAAAAACTGGTAAAATCTTACATGGCTACCATTAAGGTGGTCCTGGAGTGCTCCTTGCACATAGAAATGATGTGACAGGAGATGAGTGGAAATAAGGAGCAATTTTAGGAGTGATTCAAATGTTCTTCTTCCAGGCATTTTAAACATGAAAAGAGGTGGGAGGTGGACACAGAATTAGAAATGTTTCCTGAAAGACCACATCTGCTGCTTTAAAATAAATTGTATCTGCTGCTTTAAAATAAATTGTCTTCTTTTGTTCCAGGGACATCATTGCAGTAGCCAATCAGACATAGCTTCATGAATATTAACCATTCAAAGAACAGACAGTACACCCAATGAGAAGCTCTGTCAGCACCTAGTCACATTTTCATAAAAACAGATTGGATTGACAAACTTTGTTGATGCCTTGGCTTTCACATCTTTCCAGTAGTGATATTCTGTAGCCAATCAGGATTCTACAGAGGTTCAAACGGGAATACTGAAATTGAAAACTGAGGTCTTTTCCACACAGCCCTATATCCCAGAACCTCAAGGCAGAAAATCCCACAATATCTGCTTTGAATTAAGTTATCTGCGTTTTGCCTTGATATTCTGGGATATAGGGTTGTGTGGAAGGGCTCTGAATGTCATGTTTTAGGGAGTACTGACATAGATTTTTTGATGTGAGGGGACTTTTTCAAAATTGCAATGGGAATAGCAATAGGTGGAAATAACCCTCCCTTGATATTTCAAAATAGATCAAAGAGATTTTCTTTAGTGGAAAAAAATGTGAACCATGCCCTCTTCTTTCAGGGAGGCTTTAATTTTAATTTTAGTAGCATGAAATACTAGAAAGTGAAAATAGGTACTGCTACTACTCCTGCAGAATATTCTTCATAAGAAATATCATTTACTAAACTGCTGGAATGGAAGTATTTTAAACAGTTTTTGACAAAAATGTAGCTATCACTTAGCCAGTGGGCAAGAAGCCCCCAGTGGCACAGTGGGTTAAATCTCTGTGCTGGCAGGAATGAAGACCGACAGCTCAGAGGCTCGAATCCCTCTATCAGCTCTGGCTCCCCATGCAGGGACATGAGAGAAGCCTCCCACAAGGATGATAACACATCAAAACACCCGGGCGTCCCCTGGGCAACGTCCTTGTAGACGGCCAATTCTCTCACACCAGAAGCGACTTGCAGTTTCTCAAGTCGCTCCTGACATGACAAAAAAATAAAAGCAAGCCAGTGGACAGATGGTAATGACATTTTTGAAACATATGGGAGTACCTTATATATATGTGTATGTGTATGTGTGTGTGTGTGTGTGTGTATATATATATATATATGATTATATATATGATTATTATATGTATATGTATTGTTGAAATCTAGACATCTTCAACTTTGTTAGCTCTTCAGGTTTTGGCAGATATTCAATGGGTGTGGTGTGAATATATCAGGGTTTTGTTTATGAGGATGTGATAATTCAATATCAGTGAGAAATTAAAAACACGCTAAGTTCAATGCTTAGTCCAGGGCCTTTTCTTTTCATTCTTTTCTTTTACTTTTGTCAGGACCTGTATCCACCATGACAGTGATAGACAACAAGAATGGAGCTGTCCCCATGCCACACATGAAGTTATCCAAGAAATCAGTATCAGAAGACTTTGCAACAACATTCAGCTCACCAGCAGCCTGGCTCCTGGTTGCTGCACTTATTGTTACCTGGTCAGCTGTGGCTATTGTCATGTTTGACTTGGTGGATTACAAAACCCTAGCAGGTGAGATTCAGATGTATGTAAAATTTGCATTAATCATGGTTATATGGATGGTGATGGTAAGTTTCATTCTGAAATCACTATAGGACTATTTCCTCTAAGCCAGCAAGGTAAAACCCTGAAAATTTCTCGCTTGGTTTATCAAGCTGGGGCAGTTGTAGTGCAGGTGAAGCTGCCATCTTGTGGTGATTGGTTCTCCTTCTTCCAGCCTGCTCTCCACCTTGGGAGAGCACAGGGTGGGAGAGCAAGAAGAGCCAATGAGTTCAAACCCTTATCCTTCGTACAAGACAAAATGCTTTGACATAAAAACATGTTCACAACATTTTTTTTCATTTTAATCAAATGAAATAGATTATTTAAAGGCTGACTTCTTTTCACCAAAGTAAGTCATTTCAGGCTGTTGTACATTTCATATTGTAAGCATTTGGCCCACTTATTCAGTTCAGGTCCATGATGTCATGAAGAGTCAGAAGCGACTGAACGAATAAACAACAAATTCAGTGCTCTTGGAAACCTGTTGCACGTGCATTAAAACTACACCTTGTAACTCACCCAGTTAAATTAAGATACCCATCCAGGTGATCTGCTCAGGATGAGTGTATCTGAACTGCTCTGTTACTATAGTATAATCCCACTTTAAACACCTTGATTCCATCCTAATGCAGCTATAGGATTTATGGTCGAGTTAGCAGAGTTTCTCAAACTGTGCTCCTTCAGGTGTTTTGGACTTCAGCACCCACAAATCCCAGCCAGGTTACCAGCTGTTAGGAAATTTGAGAACTGGAATCCAAAATATCTGGAGGATCACAGTTTGAGAAACTCTGGGTTAGACACCTGGAATTTTTTGCTGTTGTTCAGGCAAGTTGGTTGGAGCTCTTTGTTGAAGAAATCTCAGTTCATCATCAACCACAAATCTCAGGATTCGGTAAGACAGAGGTATGGTAGTTCAAGTGGGATCACACTGTTGCACATATATAGTCTAGATATATTCTTAGTCTCTATTCCTGTTCTTGCAGTAGCAGAAAGATAGGCAAACTGAGTGGTTATTTCTACTGGTGGCATGTTACACATATAATGGCTGAATTAGGCTTGTTGATTAGTTTTTTCCAGAGGTCTTTTTTAAAAGAGCGTTACTGCTACTGTTTCAGTGGTTGTGAACATTTCTGGAGAAAAGTTCAAGCTATCTCAGTCTATGATGTTTGGGACTGTAACTATATGACTGCAGTGTTACACAGTCATGAGAGCAAGGGAAGGTTCTTTATTCAGTTTGGTGAGCATTTTCATCCAGTGTATACATGGACTCTTGGTCAAGGCCACTTTGACTCAATAATTTCACAAAACAGAGCAGCAAGGAAAAGACCATAATTAATATAACTCTGTAATGAAAAACATTTCAACATTGAAGCTGTTTTTAATTATTTTTGGCTGCTGAATTTGAGAAATAGAATACAAATGTATGACACACACAGTTCCTTCACAAATTTCAGTACTAATTTCATTCAGTCACATCTTACAAGATAAAAATATCAAAACAAGTTGTGGAATAACTATATGTAAAGGAGCAAATCTGAGGTCATTTTTGAATTTAAAACACTAAACTCCTATAAAACTATCATACATTATTTTTTAAAAAAAAGTTTTTATGACCCTCGATTTTTCAGTCCTTTGTTTTTTGCCCTGAAATACAAACTTTACGTTGTTCATATTCCTCATACATTGCTTACATGTATGTGTATCCATGAAACAAATCAATGTTCATGCACATTGATTAATTCTTTTCTTCCTTTTTAGCTTGTTATGAGTAAAATATAGCAAGCTTTGTTCATAAATACTTCCAGCTCATTTCAATTGATGAACTAAAAAAGAAGACATTCGGGGATTGTCACCTTAAATTTAATTCATGTTTGCTAAGGTCTAAATGCTTTGACTTATTGAGTTTTTATGTAATAAATGAACCCCCCCCCCTCTCTATATAGGGCATTCAACTAGTTTGAGCTGGTATTAGTGATTATGTCTAATGATCTGCCTAATTTAAGATACACGTGTCTTACTTTAAATGCAATTTTAAATACTAATGATGGCATGGAATGCTTGTAGATACGAAGTAATCAAAAGCATGCATATTCTGTTCAGGTAGGAATGTGTGCTCTATTAAAATGCTTTTGACTGCTCACTTTAGTGAAAATAACATTAACGAACCAAAACTATTATAAAAGTGTGCTCACATATTCAATTGCTTGCCAGTATTAAGAAATATGATAAAATATCTAATACATAAATACACTTGAATGCATTAATTACACTCATTTGCACATTTATTTTTAATTGCACTCAGTCTACTGCTATCTTCATAAATAATTGGGGAAAATCAATTATAAAACAAATCTTGTGATCCATACCAAACCATTTTAAATATGAATCCTGTAATTATTTAACAAGCACAGAAATGAACCGGAGACCAAAGTTTAATCCTCAGCCTTCTCATTAGGACTGGAAAGCTAAGTGAAATAATTTGCACAGATGAATCTGTTAGTTTCTTACATGCAAGACAATGATAATTAATTAGGGCAGATAATTAATTAGAGGTGGGCTGAATTTCTGTGAATTCAAAGAGTTGGAGGAAAATAAACATATTCAGTAATCTTGCCTCAGAGTTAGCTTTTAATCAAACAGCTAAACAGCACCAAGCTGAAAGTATTTCTTTCATACTGAAAGTATGGAAAGCACTGGATGCCCATGAGAGCTCACAAGACCATGCAGTAATATCCCTGGAAGGCTATTCCAGGCCCTAAAGCAGAGTTTGAAATGAACAAACTACACATCTTGAGGGCTTCTAGGGGCAATTGTTTATAGATGTTTGGGACCGCTTTGGAGGAACATGTTGGGCTTTATACAACCTCAAGGTACATTATTCCTATAACTGTTTCATAGGCTGCATGTGAGCCCCTTCAACACTCATGTAGCTGGAGGCAGAGCTAGCATGAAGTTGTTTCTGCTCTCACTTGACAGATTGTGGCAAGAGGATTCTGTTTCAGCTTTGGAAAAAATGCTTTCAATTTGATTTGGTGTAGTTTGTTTAGCTGCATGTTGAAAAGCTATCACCGAGGAAAGATTGCTAAATATAATCATTTTATTACAAATCTTTTAATTCACAGAAATTTATTCCACCTAACTGATGAAATCAGGACACTTCCAGACAGTGCCAAAACACAGAATTAAAAAGAGGGGCAAAAAACCCCAAAAAAACCTAGGACCTGAGAGCAGTCCTGCTGGTCCTGGCCTTTCTCCCCCCACTGTTCTCACTGGCCTCCCTTCTGTGCCTCAGGATGAAATGGAGGGCGGACAGGGGACATCTGGCAGAAGATATATATATATATATATATATATATATATATATATATATGGTTATGCATTGATCCGTATATGCACATGTGGACATATCTAATGAAGCATGAACTGAGAGCCAATAGAACTCTCTGAAATCTTTATTTTACACTGTATAATATTAAACAGAGCTTTCATAAATAATTACTGAAGAGAAAAATCCAGTGGAATTTTTTTTTACTCTATTATATGCTGAACCTCATATGCGCACGTGGAAATATATTTCAGAGAGTTCTATTGGCTCTCAGTTCATGCTTCATTTTAATCAGCTGTGTGTCCGTTTGACAACCCAATCTGCAGATGAGCTGTTTGGGGTTTTTTAAAAGGGACATCAGCTGGAGCAGTCTCCACCGGGGGAGGGAAGGAAAACACATGCTTTTTTGGAATGCAGAGTCACACAGACATACAAAGATGTGCATCTTTTGGCCAGAAACTGGATAGAAGGGGATATTTTTATCTCACGGTTTCCCTCCTTTGTAGTGATTTTGAAACGAGATCTCCTGTGTTTAAAGCCTTGCCTGGATGAGCTCTCCATTAGTTAGAAAGCATTCCATGCAATCAGGTAACTCCTTCCAAGTTTTCCTGCTATTCAGGGTCGGCAAATGCTACAAGTGTGGGAACTGAGAGTTTTACCTCACACTACAATTTTCTTTTTGTTCATTCATTCACTATATTTTATCCTAGTCCCCCTCTCCCCCCCCCCAAACACAGGTACTCCCCAAGTATCTAGCATTGCAGGTGAGCATTTAGAAATGCAGTTTAGACATCCAAGAAAATAATATGGTAGAATCATACAACCTAATTTTATAATTTAACATGCTTATTAAATAACTGTGCATATACAAGGAAGACTTCACATACATGTATACTGGTAGGGTACAAGACTCATCACTGGTGATTCCTGTACCATACAAGCCACATGAGAAAATTCACTCTCAGCTTTTGCAGATGTGTTAACAGCATTCAGTTTTTGGAGGTAAAGTATTTGAAGGAACTTCAAATACACAGTTTCTCTACAAATTACACTATATTAGGTTTTACTAATAATTCAAATCACCATAGCTGGATGACTTGTATAATTGGCATTTGCTTCCAAGTCACTGTTATTTTAGTTTATGTATGCATATGCCTTCAAGTGACCTGTCAATTTATATTAACTCCATAGTGTTTTCTGAAGCAAGAAATACCCAGGAGGTTCTTCCAGTTCTTACCTCTGAAATACACCTTATAGAACCTGTTATTCCTTGGTGGCCTCTAATACAAGTACTGACCAAAACTGAACCTGATCAGATGGAACTGGTGCCTTTATTTAGTCTGTTGTTATTTAATTTACATGTAAGCAATTTTTCATGTTGAAAATATTGTATTTGAAATTGATTGATTGGAAGCTTTACAATATACTTTCTCATTAAAATAAATTATTATTTTTCATCATTTTTGACACTTATGAAAATGTTTTCTAACAGAAATATCTTTTATAAAAACTTATATTGAAATCCTTCTGTCTCCACACCCAATTTTTTCTCTGCCTCTGCAAATCATTTTTTCCCCTTTGGGACTGCCTATAGGGAGCATGCATTGGCAACATAATATGTATGATAAGGAAGGCAACAACAAGAGAAGTGATACGAAATCAACTTTTGGCTTTGACAAACCAGTAGAAGGAGACTGCAACCTATTTAAAGTGGGGATGGAATCCCTCAGAAGCTTCTAATTCTGTCTAGAAAATGGATGCTCCAGGGAGTCTAGAGGGCCTGAGGTTGTCAAGAAGAGTTTTGGGACTGCATATAGCCTGAAGGCTGCACTTTGCCAACCTCTTCTGTAAACCTAAATTGCACAATTTCTGACTTTATCATGAAGATTAGCCTTCACACCCAGTCTTTTACACTGTTTGTGTTCTTGGTTAAATAAGAGAGAGCATGATGATTATTCACTAAAATATATATTGGAAAAAAGTGATAGGTTTTGACAATGGTGAAAGAATACATTTTCCCCCTTGAGTTCTTATAATTGGAAAAGCAGAACATATAAGAAAAATGTTTATAGTCTCCAGCAAAACATGTTGCTGTTTAAATGTCTTTAAATCCACATTTTAAACAGTCCATCAAATCAATAGAATAAGTCCCATGAATTCCAATAAAGTTATATTCTGAAGTTCAACATAATTTACATTTGGCACAAAATAAATGTACATGATAGTTCACATGTGATTCTGCCCTACCCAGATATGTCTCCTTTCATACAAAAATGTACCATGGAAACATACTCATTGCATTATGAGGTGTTTATTTTCCTATAGAAAGGTCATTGACCCAGTTAATGTCTTTGATTTTTTTTAGGGATGAGATGCTAGTGACCCTCTTTTCTACTGTGACAATGTTGTTAAATGTGACCTACCTATTTTTTATTTTTATTATTAACTTTATTTGTACCCCGCTAGCATCTCCCGAAGGACTCGATGCGGCTTTCAATCACATATCTCTATTACCTTACAGAATGGTCAGTGAGTCTGATTTACTCAGCCTTCTCTGAATAAATTTGACTCACTAACCTTTATTACTTTAGGGCTGGCATGGTAGTGGCCTCTACTACACAGCTGTAAGATGTGACCTATATACTACTACATTTTATTCACATTTATTTCCATATTTATATACAGAATTTCTGCCTATTGTGGTTAGTGAGTCTGATTTACCCAGCTTTCTCTGTATAAGCAGTCTGGACCATGAATGGGAAATTTGAAAAACTGATCACAAGCAAGGAGCATTTTATAAGATTTCCAGTATAAAATAAGAATACAGAATATCTGTGCTGGTCATTCTGGACCTTACCTTTCTAATATAAACTGAGTGAGGATACAGAATATCATTACATGTGCTCATCCTGAATGATGGGATGACCTGTTTTTCATGTCTGAAGTTCATTTTTGCCTGGGGGGACAATACCCATATATAGACAAAATGGAAAACAATAACAGCAGCTACATGGAATACCTGTATTAAAATTTCCTGGTGGATTTTTAGCAATGTGTATATTTTCATCCCCTAATAGGAAATACTGCTGTGCAACTCTATACTTCTTTCCTATTCCATATGAGATTCCATAGCATTGCTTGCGATTTGCAAACACACTTATTAGGGAATGGGTCTCAGGGACGCAGTAAATTTATCTGCATCAAACATGGTTTGAATGGCATTGGCTTAAAGGAACCTGGGTGTGAACCAAAGAAATTTGCAACTAGAGAAGTGTACTCCATGTGCTTGACTCCTTTGGGTATAAAAGATAATTTTTTTGCTTGAGCATTTTGGACCAAGCTGCAGTGTGGTTTTTCTTTGCAGAAATTGGACTGGAAAGCTACAAAGAATTAGATTAATCCAATTTGGATATAATACGCATGAGAATGAGTTTTGAAACCCATGTGGGTTTTCTTGAGTTGTAACACTACTTAATCCTCACAGCCATTCTGAGAAGATAAAGAAAACTGGTTGCTATATTCAACACGATTATCAAACAAAATCCAAACAGGCTCCCAACTTTCTTGCTGGAAATTGGCACTGTGAACTCTCTGCATGCATATGTTTGGATTTTGTTAGGGATGTCCCAAGTTTTGGATATGGAATGATCTTGCAGTATAAATTGACATGGTGTATAGAAGGGTAAAAGCAAGTGGCATATTTTAGATAGCTGGAATTTTCCATTTATAAAATAATGGATTGGATCCAAAGTTTCCTACATGTCAGTGGAACGTTGTCTTCTGATAATGGAAGAACATAACTGCATCCAATTCTTTCCATTTGAGTCAACCCAGTATTTTTACTAGGCCATTTTGAAACATTCCAAATCACAATGGGAGCCAATCAGGCTGATTGTTCCAGTAGCTTTCACTTTTACATATATCGTAGGAGCCTCACATTTATTCACATCTGGCACCTGAACAAATGTATAGATTGAAGATCTGTCTCTACATGCATCTTTGAAATGGTCTGAAAGTTAAAATGCCAAAACTTTAATATTGAACTGTTCAACCAGAGTTTGAATGTCCCTACATATCCTTAAAATCTTCAGTTTTGGAATACCATGGTAGGTTTAAAATTTATTTATTTCATATCAAAAGCATTGCATAAATTCGTATAAAATAGAAGGAGCGCAGGTGGCTAAATATCTTTTGACCAAAAATGGGCAATAGCAATGGCATTGTCTGTAGCCTCCAACAATTCTTCCTCTGTACATGAGGCCAGGCATAGTGGGCAAGCATACAGATGTGGAGTTGTCTGTTCTGCTCCACAGTCACACAAGTTGTGGGATTCTTTTAGGTAGTGCCATTTTGCCAGGTTGTCTTTTGATCTGCCACTCAACTTCTGAGTCTGTTCAGGGACTTTCAAGTTGTCAATTCTTGGTTTGCCCCTGGAGGAAGACCCTCGTGGGGGGGGGGCATCCAGTTGGGATTTCCTGGTTTAGCTGCCCAGAGGGATACCCTTGATGACAGCACATAAACCCCATATTTACAGTTCAAAATCTGGATTGGATAGTATAGCAATCTTGACTATCTTACAAGAATGTTGAGCTTTGTGGTATGGCCTTCAAATGCAAATTCAGGTGCTGGTGTAGTGTATAAGATTATTTCATTTCTAACACATTGAAAATGCTTAAAGACAGTTGATGTGACAGCACTTTTCTTCTATGTATATGTTTTCTTCCATGGGAAAACATGGACTCAATATCTTGGTGTATGTTGGGGTTCAGCCTGAGTTTGAACTTGAACCTGATTCTCTGTTCCTCCTGATGCTAATGAAAATATATTTACTGATGCTAATGAAAATGTACCTCTTGATGCCAATGCTCCTAAAATTAGTGAGGAAGAAACTTCTGTAGATTTGGAAAATGCCAATGCTCCTGAAATTAGTGAGGAAGAAACTTCTGTAGATTTGGAAAATGAAAGTACCAGTGTTCATGAGAATGTTTCAGAGGGAAGCCATGAACTTTCACTCCCTTTTGCACCTGGTAACTCTAATGAGAACAGAAGGGGCCAGATCTGGCAAGACAGAAGTAAATCACTCAGCTTGCATAGGTCTTCCCGATTAAGAGAAATACAAACAATGGCTTCAAAGCAGAGGGGCGGTTCACGGAACCAATTCTTTGGTGCCTTCCGCCGGGCTGACTTTCTCAGTCCAGGCATCGTTTCAGATTGATGAAGACCTTGGCTGTTCTCCCGGTTTTCCTGGCCATTGTCTTGAAAGATTTCTAGGATATCAAGTACGGTTAGTGGATTGCTAACAGGTTCCAGTATTTTACAGTGTGGCTTTGGGTTTTGTTTTTGTCCATTTAAATTCATGTTTGCTGATTTTGCTGTGGCTTTTGACTTGCATTTTTCCTTTATTCTGTAACCCTTTTTCTTCAATAAAAAAAGGATTGTTTTTCACAGTCAAGTGTGGTGGATAGTTATCTTAGGGCCTCGTTTCCTGCTCTGGATTGCAACAGTGTAAAACATGGGGAATATGAACTTAGAAATGAAGCATCAATCTTTTTTCCAACATGGAACAGGTCCTGCTTCTCAGTTTCATATAACCAAATTCAACTTTGGGTATAGTCCAGCTAAAGTGAAGCACTTTCAGTTTCCCTTGATTTCAACAAGAAAGTTAAATGCGTTTTCAGATTTCACACACTGAGATAAATTGTTGCTTTAATATTCACTTTGACCAAAACACACCATTTATGACTCAATAAGGGTCTCAAGCTGGTTTTGTGATGTCATAAAATGATGCTCATATATTAACAATGAGAGTATAAATAAAAGCTACAGCAGAGAACTGAGAGAACAGTATAAACTATTCTTTAAAACTGAAGATTTTTTCAAATAGTTTGACATAGAATCACTTAAGCTTTAATAGAAGTGGGTGCATGCCAGACTTTTGCAATATGTGAAAAACACTTTATTTGTAATGCTTCAATGTGAATGTGTAGAAGTTATTAGTACAATGACAACACAGTTGAGTAGCAACCATGGAAGCTTGTCAGAAGTCAAGAAACATGTATGGATAGTAGCACGCATGAAATGTATGTAGCTTAACCTTTCCTCTTCCTACTCTTACTTCATGTATATTTTGTTCTCGTAGGAGTACATCAACTTGATATTGACAAAGATGTGGGGACAGGAGAGATCCCTAGAGGCAAGGAACCCATTTTATTATTTTTGAAAACATTTGAAACATGTCTGGCATGCTTTCTGATCATATTGAGTTGCACAATGGTTGCAGCGTAATTTGAGGAAAGTTCACATTATTTATCCATTTAGAAGTTTACAAACTGACATAAGGTTGATCCACAAACCAATTAAGAAGATTTGTTTTAAAAAACTGAAGCTATTTGGGCTCAACAAAATAAATGCAATTAGCACAGCTGGGTTACACATGTTTTTTGTTTGTTAACTGTAAAATTAAATAGTAGCTTGCCTGTGCAAATGAGCCATACAACCCCAGATCAGGCTTCCATATAACTTCAAAAATAATGTGTTTTTCCCCTCCAATGGAGTCAACCCACAAATTCCATATCATGTTATAATGAACAGAAATCTTCCTTTTGTGTAAATTCAGTTATTTAGAATGAAGTTGGATTCACATAATGATTGGAAAGATACAATGTAAATACCGAAATGAAAGGATATCTGGGAACCATAAAGAAACTGATTTGTGTTACTTGGAAGCAAAATTATATTCTAAGGGCAGAGTTGTGGCTACTGAACTAATAGACAGCATCCACTGGACTAGTTGGGAAAGAGACAATTTTAAGCAATCCTTCTCTACAGCTTTCCCATGTGGGAAAACAATGACTCTCTCAAGTAGGTTGTGGAGGCCTTTAGGGATGAGATGGAGCTCCTTGAAATTGCCTGCCTTTACACTCCAGGGGCTAACATCTTCTATAACAGTGACTCCTAACTTTTTGTCCTCCTGGTATTCTGGACTTCAGCTTTCACAATTCCTAACAGCTGGTAAACTGGCTGGGATTTCTGGGAGTTGAAGTCCAAAATAACTGAAGGACCAAAGATTGGGAACCAATGTTCTATAATGATCACCTGGATACAATTTCTGATTTTTTAAAATACACTGTATATTATATTTCCTGGCAAATGTCTTAGACAAGAGATGTTTGAACCATAAATAAGAAAGTGATTTGTGATGAATGATTATCCCAGTCCTTTGATATCAGACCAGGGTTTTGATTGTTACTTTACTTGTTGGCTCACAAATAATTTACTGCACAACACTTGGTCTTAACTAAACGGCTTGAAATCACATTACACACAAAATAGAAATGGGAGAATATTGACAAATGTTTAAAAATATTTATCAAGAGTCAGGAAATGCTGATAAGAATTTTCACATCTTTGGTCTTATTATCTGTAAAAGTTTCATGTGTTTTTTCAGCAAAGCCAAAAACAGAATTCAATGATATATATATATATATATTATATATATATACTCCATAGGAAATGTCTTCTGTGCAACCCCCCCCCCCCCACAAAACCCCTAGACATGTTTTGTGCAGAATGAGTCCTACACTACAAATCATATTTGAAAACTATGCAGTTTTACAAGTCTTTCTTGTAGCAGGAAAAGTTTGTAAGCTACTTGTTTCTTCCTTTGAAAATAAATTTAGTAATGAGTTACAGAATTCAGAAATAAAGAAAATGGAGCTATACACTTGGTTTCTGAATATAAATTTCATTTCATTTCTTTATTTTGTGTGAGAGATCCTTAATACTGGATAGAAACTAATAGTATGATCTGTTGTCACAGCAGCAAACAACAGTGTAAAATGGGACGCTCTAATCTTTCCCATCAGAGGTAAACTGGCAACTGTTTGCATGGTATTCCCATGCTTCCTGGGTTCCATCTCTTTAGCTCGTTGTGTCTCTCCCTTGGCCCTTGAGGGATAAGGAGTATCTGGTGAAGGAGTCGCATTAATTGGCAAATGGGAATAATCCTTTGGAATAACAGAATCTTCTTCAAGATTTCTGGAACATTCATTAGGCATGCTTAAAGGGTTTGATTGTAACAAATAGAGATATCTATTTTTAATGCAAATCACATTTCTCAATGCTATAAACTAGTGGTTCTCAGAGTGTGCTCCGTGGAGCCTTTGGAGCTCCATGAGGCATACTAAGGGGCTCTGTGGTTCCCTCCTATTTATGTGTATGTGTTCATTACCAATCTTAGCTGCAAGATGAGGAAGAGTAGGATTATGAACTTTCATTTCGATCAGGCTTGCACAATGTGTGGCCCTCCAGGTGTTTGGGACTCCAACTCCCAGAAGCCTTAGCCAGCTTGTCCAATGGTTAGGAATTCCTGGACTTGATGCACATGGAGGGTGACAGATTGAGCAGGCCTGATATAGGCTATAGCTGAATCTATACTGCTCTATATCACAGGATTTGTTCCCAAATTATCTAATTTGAACTGGATTGTATGAATCTACACTGGCAGATAATCTGGAATAAGAAGATAATCAGAGATCAGATCTTGGGATATAGGGCAGAGTAGATCCAGACTATCTTAGTAGGTTATATCGCTTCTTCAGGTCTGCCATTTTTAAAGCACGTTAAGGCTGGATCTACAATGCCTTATAACCCAGTTCAAAGCAGATAATCTGGGATAAGAAACTGGATTATATTGCAGTGTAGATCCAGTCTAAAGCACTTTATGTTTCTTATTCAAAAACAGTTTATCTGTTGTGGATATGTTTCCTGTGTATCCAGGACATTTCAGCAGGGTGAAAATGCTGGTGTCTTTCGATATGTTTACATTTCTCTGGATTAGGACCTTTGTTTGGACCGAATTATTCAGATGTACCCTATGAAAACCAACATTTATTTTTATATTAATAATATAATAATAAAAGATATCAAGTGTTACATTCCAAACTTATTTATCTTTATGTTTTGCATTCAGGTCAATCTGTAAACAAGCTCACCACTGATCCACTAAGACTCGTGTATGGTGCTGTGGAAGACACCACCAGTTCGATTTATGGCTTCCTTTCATTAATGTCAGACCTCATATTTGAAGATGATGAAGAGAGTGAAAAAGGTACTCTGAAATTCAGGGCATCCAGTGATCACATTTCAACTGGTGAATTCTTTTCATGCAGTAAGCAAAGTAGAAATGACCTCTGAAAAGTTTGTTGAACAAGTTTCATATTGCATTTATTATATTATGGTACAAGTATTAAAATGCTAACACCACGATTTTGGCTTGAACTATAGATATGCTAATGTATACATTTAAAACCTGCTTACTTGCTAATGCAAGGATGGGAAAACATAGTTTGCCAGATTTTTTTTTGTCCTTCTTCCATCAATCCAAAGAGAATTGTAAGAAATTATGGAAGCTACAGTCCAAAAACATCTGGAGGGTCACAATTGCTCACCCCTAAGTTAGCCCTTGTGGTCCCATCACAATATGTATTTCCTAACATATAACCAGCTTTTTACCCCCTGGCCATTAAAGTAATTGAATGCACATGTCCACACTGTAGCATGAATTCTTTTTGAGATAAAACAATTCAAAAATGTCATTGGGCTTGTGCTTCTCCGGTTTTAGTATTGTAATTAAAACACATCCCCTGAGTGCAGTCAATTGCTGCATTGGCCTCTGCTAATGAAACATCACAAGATAATCAGTTTTGTAGTGGATAGATACTTGAGTGACAATAGGTGTGAGATGCTCATTCTTCTATCTGTTGCTTATCTGCTGCTTGGTTTGATGTGAAGTCTCTATTCTATCTTTGCTGTTGCTTTGTCGTTTCAAAGAGCGCTCCTTAACAAATATAATTAAAACCCAGCTGGAACCAACTCATTGTTCCCTAGAAATGTGTTTGTCAATTTCAAGCAGCACCTAATTTCCATCACTGTGGGGTCTCTCAGATGGATACTGGATGTGCGAATACTAACCAGTTTATATTATTATGACACTGGGTCATAATATACTCTGGTCCATGTCAGAAAATTTACTACTGCCATTGAACTAGATGTGCAATGAGATGCATTTTTCTAGCCTAATCCTCTTGGCAACGAGAACTATAATTTAGCATCTTTTTATTAAAAGAATTGTGGAAAACAAACATATGTTCAAGTGTGGACATATGTGATTGACAATTTATTTTATTCCATTTTCTACAGTGGGGGTGGTAATAATGCAATCCTTCTCGGCAGGCCCGTAGCCAGGATTTTGATTCAGGGGGTGCTGAGTTTGATCAGATTTATTTATTTATTTATTTATTTATTTATTTATTTATCGTGTCATCCGCAACCAGAGCAGATCAGTTTGATCAGATCATGATATGAATAAACATAACAGTTTGAATAATGTATCAGTAAGGCCTTCTCAAGGACCACCCTGAGAATTTCGGCGGGGGGAGGGGGGTGAAGCCCCTCAAGCCCTCCACCCCCACCCGGCTACATGCCTGCTTCTCGGCTTGCACCTCCTATCAGCTTGTTCACATGTTCAAGTTATAAGCAATGGTAGCTGACTTCTTCATGATAGTCCTTCATTCAACTACAATATTTTATATTATTTGTGGATTTGCTTCAATGGAGTAGATTAAGGAATAATATATGATTGAGTGCAAGGATTGGAACTGAAACAAAATATGACGTATGGACAGAAGAGCTTTGGTGTGTGCATAGACCTTGGAAGAGTTACTTTTGGATTATAACACCTGGTAGGCACATGTTGGTTGGAGCATTTTTGGATTAATGTTTTCAACCTCTGTTCCCAATAAACATGGATGAGTGGAATATATGGAACTTGCAGCAAGTTTTTAATTCTGTGTGGACCAAATCTGATCTGTACATAAAAGTAGAACTGTTTTGGGGTAGGGTGGTGTTTCAACATAGAGCTTTTTGTGATAAACCAATGAATCTGTCTGTAAAAATGAAAATGAATGTACACTGGGAATATCCCATATATTGTTGATATTTTATTAAGATGCTCTCCATTTGATTTCATTTCTGTTCTTTGCCTAGGTGAAGAAGAGACTCCTTTAAAAGTTAAAGGTTGGTAAAAAACAACAACAACAACATATGCTTTGTTTGACCAAGCAGTAAGCAGAAAAAATAATTTTCTCCTGTCCACAATATAGCTAATTCTATGTATCTCTACTAATTGTATAATATAGCATAAAATGTAAAAGGGTATTCCTTGTAAAAGGTTATTTCTAAGCAGTAAATTGTGGGTTATATTGCACTGCTACTGATTAATTTACTATGCAGATAACAGACTAAACCCAATTTTTGTTCCAATCAGTGCTGACTCATTGAATCAATGAACATACATTACTATTGACTTACTATGTTTTCATTGATTAAATGGACCTACTCGAGTTAGAACTAGACTCTATTGACCACCTAAGGATAAGAAAAGTACATTCATGAGAGAACAACCCCTTAACTAGACTCACTGTTTTATTTAATGGATTGGTCCCTGTGTCCTTACAGATGTCTGATATTTAGACAATCAACAGTTGAAGTTTCTTTTCTTGTTATGGTTTCTCTACTTTGGTAGAAAGTATTTTGACCACCAGCTGTCTTTCAGTATTTAATGGCACATAAGTCCTGCCAACAAAATGTGGAGTGGTTGTCTTCAGTTTATTCAATGTTAATTCAAACTAGAGTAAACTCACTGACTGATACTGGTAGATGTGAATGTGAATTATTTGGTCTCTAAGAATGCAGAAGGGGAAAGGTGCAAGAAACTACATGTCAATATGCTAAAGCCTTATTATTCTAGGGCAAATCTAGTTTTACATGTTTCCTAGGAAACATCTGGGGGAATTTTCTTATCTGGATGAGGAAAGATAAGTCAGGATAAAACCCTACCTATTATAGCAGATAGTGCCAATCTAACTACTAGGCCTGGGTAACAACGGAAAAATTTGTTTCTAAAATCGATTCGTTTTTTGGGGTTTTTTGCGTTTCGATATTTAAAAGAATTCCGAAATTTTCCTTAAAAAAGTTCGATATTTATGAAATTTCGTAAATGGTAAAAAAATTACAAAACAATAACGAAACAATAACGAATCGATTCGTTAATGGCGGCCGCGATCGCGCAATACGCTAAAAAACTTCTGAAGCTTCCCTCTCCCTCTGTTGTTGACTGTTGGTGTGATATTATATTTTTTTCACTAATTAAACAAAAAACAACTATAAAACTTGCCCCAGACATGCGGAAATAATAACGAAACGACCTCAAACCAATAACGAAACGAATACATAACAAAATACGAAGCATTTACGAAACGAATTGAAAAATTCATTTCGTTTTTAAGTTGCTCCAGAATGGTTCGTTATCGCTTCGTTAAAAAAACGAATTTTTAACGAATTACGAATTAATGAAACGAAACCGCCCAGCCCTACTAACTACAACTCAGAAATGGCAAATTCGAGCAATTATACAAGAGTATAAGGATTTTCCCCCCAAATCTGCCAGGGAGGACACATCTAGTGTGCCATCACATTAATACAGGAGAGGCCAATCCCATAGCCTCACCTCCTTATTGAGTTACAGGAGAGAATATATCATAAGTACTTTTTAAAACATTAAATAGGTTATTTTATTCCGCTTTTAGTGAGGCAGATTGCATTTGGCACTTTCAGAAAAAGAAGTAGACACAGACTCCAGTACTAGGTTTTATAATAATTAAATTGATTACATAGACAAAGGGGAATATTGCATCAACATTTACACATATACTCTAACATTAATTCATTAATTAATTAATTCATCAAGCATTCTTACCATTCTTCTTGTTGAAGATGATCAGCTTCTTGAGAGGAGGCGGCTGTTCATGATGGTGTTCAATTGGTCTGACACCCTCTCTCTGAGAGAAAAGGGTCCTTTTAAGTAGTATTTTCTGTTGATGTAGTTCTGAAAGTTGTAAATTACTGACAGACAGATTCCATCAGTTCCTGGAAAGATGTTGATATTTTTTAATTGGCTTTCCTTATCAATGAGGCTTGTAAACATTTCTGTAAGGAGCCACAGTGTTGACTTCCTTACTTAAAAGAACCATTGTCTTTGACAATGTAAACAAGTTGTTTTTCCACCAAGAGTTCATCAAGTCAGAGTGTCAATAGTTAATCATTTGTCTCAAATCTCGTCAGCAATTTTTAATTAGTCCATGAGTTCTTTGCCTCTGTCTTGTAATTTTGCAGACTTCATTCCTTAGAATGGTATCTTCAGCCCAATTAGGCCGCATTCATATGCCTTTCATACTTCACTTCACTTCACTTCACTTCACTTCACTTTATTTCTTAATTAGTTGCTCTCCACCAAGGTGCTCTGAGCGACTTACAGTCTAAAATAGCATTTACACAATATAAAAACATTCAACATAATAACATTCAACAGTGCCTATTTGGTAAATTATATCTGATTACTTAAATGCACAACCAAACAGCCAAGTCTTGAGTGCCTTTACAAAAGGTCGCAACTCCGACATTGTTCTAATGTATGGAGGCAATGAGTTCCACAGAATTGGAACATAGGTCAAAAAAGCTCTACTCTTTGTAGCTTCCAGGTGTACCACCCTAGGGCCCGGTATATACAGGAGATTTTCCTGGGTGGATCGAGGTGACCACTGATGGAGAAAAGGAATGAGGCGGTCCCTAAGATATAAAGGTCCTTGTCCATTTTGAGCTCTAAATGTCAGGATCAGTATCTTGTAAGAGATCCGATGTTCTATTGGTAGCCAATGCAGTTGTTGCAGAATCGGTGTAATATGGGATCTTATAGATGATCCCGCTAACAGCCTGGCCACTGCATTTTGGACCATCCGAATCTTCTGGGTTGTTGACTTCGAAAGGCCGGCATATAAGGTGTTGCAATAGTCCAACCTCGTGGTGACTGTTGTGTGGATTACTGTTGCCAATGCTTCTACCGAAAGGTAGGACTCCAATTTCCTTGTCTGTCGAAGATGAAAAAAGGCCTGCTTACTTATGGCAGTGATCTGGGCCTCCATCATCAGCGATGAGTCCAACAAAACCCCAAGGCTTTAAACAGTGGCAGACGGAGCCAGAGCTTCCCCATTGAAATCAGGCAGAGACTGGATTATTCTGGCAGCTGGCCATACAATCTCACTCAAACCATACAGCATATTTTATCATGACACAAGCATACGTTATCTCTAGGGAGTTACAGGAAATGTTGAACCTAGGACTTATCATCTGATAGTCCCTGGTCATCACCTTTTCTTTTGCTCCCCAAGCCAGATCACACTATAAGATTCTGTGTTGATTATAGAAAGCTCAACCAAGTAACGGTGTCAGATGTATATTCTATGCCCAAGATGGACAAATTGGTTGAAACTACAGGGGAGGCCAAATATATTACTACTCTAGACTTTATGAAGGGATACTGGCAGGTAGTCATGAGTTCAGAAGACCAGAAAAAGTCAGCTTTCGTGACCCGGGATGGACTTTTCAAATTCAGAGTTCTTTCATTTCATTTTAAAAATGGCCCTGCAACTTTCCAAAGGTTAATCAATAAAATGGTAATGGAAATGAAAAGCTTTGTACAAGTCTATATAGATGATATTTCTATTTTTAGTCATACCTAGGAAGAGCATTTAGAACATCTGGCAAAGGTACTACAAAAGATTAAGGAGGCAGGCCTAATGGTCAAGGTGGCCAAATGTCAACTCACCAGGCTACAAGTGAAGTACCTAGGGCATATTGTTGGGAGTGGAAAGATACTGCCTGATATGGATAAAGTGCAAGTCATTTGGGAATGGCCCAGACCAAAAACCAAGAAACAAATAAGAGTAATCCTTGGTGTTGTGGGTTTTTATAGAACGTTCATGCCTGATTTTAGTTCACATGTCTAACAAATCTTATTTTTCTGCCATTCTATTCCAGTTGGAATTATCATTGACTTTAACCAAATGTCATTATTTAAATTATAGTTATACCTCAGGTAATGAAGTAGATGTGTTCCTGAGCTTTCTTTCACGGAAACTGTGGTAGAATAGAAATAACAGGAAAATAATAAGTATAGGTTCCTACACAACAGATTAAATAGTTCAATGTGTTTCAGTAAACCAAAATTAATAGAATGGTGTAGTACTTTGACATCCTGGGTTAATTTATATTAACTCAGAACATTCCAAAATGAAATGTATCTTTTTTGGTAGTCCGTCTGTACTACCCTGAAACTAGGTAAGATGGGTATCACCAATAAACTCAGCGATTGTTTCTAGGGCACTGTGTATATGCAGCAAAACAAAGATCCTAACTGATGAAAGCTAAATGAAAATGGGTAAAAATCGGTTTCTGAAATGTTGATTGAGCCTAGATGTGACAAAAGATTAATCAGACTAGGAGAAGTTAGAACACAAGGCAGGAGGGATGAGAGAAATCTGGGACATTTCAAGAAAGAATTTGGATCCAAATCTGAGAATGTGCAGGTAAAATAAAAACCAGTAAAACTAGAACTACCCAGTTCTTCCTGAAACATTTCGCTTCTGGGTAAGCTCTTCATTGTAAATGTATTACAAAGAGGGGAATAACTAATTACAGGTAGGAACATTGTACTATTACAACATTTGATACTGTTCCATTATCTGGGCAGAGGCCACTAGGGATGTGGTAGAGAGAGAAAGATAGACCATTTTATGGGGGTGGGGTATAGGTTGAAGGAAGAAAACAATTTCCCCCTGTTTTCCTGTAATTCCTCCCACCCATGTACCCATTGTAGAAATAACTCTCATTTATGATATGGGAAGGAGAGGGATAATATGCAAAAAATAGGGGAAATTATTTTCCTCCTTCCCCTCCCCCATAATATCGACTATGCTTTTTTCTATAGTGCCCCCTAGTAGGCTCCGCACAGATAATGGAACAGGACTCAACATTATAATTATTTTCTTCCAAATTCTACTTTTGTATCATCTGGATATAATTGTAACACAGAAGGACTGATCAGAAAATACCTAAACTGCAAAATAACTTAAGGCATGTTTTCATCTTCTTTTAGAAGAAGTCCAACCACCGATCAAAAAGAAAGGTGAGAAATTTCAACATTATATTATTTTTTCCATCACCTGTCATAATAATTTTAATGTTTGTGTAAGCAGCTTTCTAGATTGCTACATGGCCACAGGCCATGGGGGACATAAGAATCCCTGTTCCTCCTGGGAATGCAGAACTGTTGACAACCAAAGGTCCTCAGATTTCTCCACCTTGCAAGGAACACCAAGAATTGAAGAAGTGGAGATCAGTTGTGGCATTACCAGGCAGCATACCATGCTATCCATCTGTCCTCTTTGTAGCAACTGCTAAAATGACCTATGATGCAGTTTCCACAACAGCTACAACAATTGCTAGGCAGCTTGTAAGGACTTTAATAGACTTAGGACTCTGGCCAGCAAAATGGAAAACAACAGCAACAAGCTACATGACATAAGGGCTCCGAAATGAAAAAGGGTGGGAAATTAACATTTCTAACTTTGCCGAGAAATTAAAACTGCTACCCAGCTATAGCTGATCTCTGCATATAAGTTGTTTAAATATCTTTTGCAACTATGCAGTGACTAACATACAACAGTTACAGGAGTGGTAACAGTTGGAGAGAACTGAATGGAGAAAAAGAGCAGAAATATATAAGGCAATTATATGAGCATAGGAATCTGTAGAGAGAGGGTGGGGGAAGCAAAATCGGCAAGGGACAAGGATCAAGGTAATTGAAAGCGAGGGAGCTGTTGGTTGCAACTTCAGCTTTATCTCTCACTTCACTGGTTGATTGAAGAATTCTTTCAGGCTCATTTGCTAACTTTTGGACATGGAGGGAAGGAGAGGTGCCCTATGCTTCTACCATTAAGCTGTGGCTTCCTTCTTTGGTGTTCAAGGCCAGCCAGAATGAGGCTGTGTACAACCCTGGGGAAATGGATCTATAGCAGGTATCACTCAGTGCCACTACATTCCAAGAAAAGCATCTAGACATGGACAGAACATCAGCAGCTACCAGTAAATATATAATTATGCTTCACCAGCATGATGTAGGAGATATAGTTTCATTTATGTTGCAAATCTGAGCATCCCTAGGATAGAAATCTCAGTTATAAGAATTCTACTGCCTAATTGGATACTTTACCTTAAATATGTCACACACACCTATACAGGACATGTTGGGATTTTGTTGACATTGTCCTGTTCTCTCCCTGCTCTTAGAAATTCTTATTCCCTACAATAAACTTTAAATAAAACTCAGGGTGACAATAGTCAGATTTTATTTTGGCAATATTAAAATTTTGGGAAATGGTTAACCCAGCCAATTAAAAGAAATCCTCTTTCAAGTTGCAGAACTATTTAAAATACAAGCACTAGAATAACTTAACTCTCTCCTGAAAACCTGGGGGCTTTATAGGTTTGCCAGAATGGCTGATCTTGGCACCATTTGGGTAATTAGTTATTCCATTCACTTCCCTCTGAAGAATATCCCCATTTACATATTTAGTGCTTTCAGAGTTTAGCTGATTTTCTTTTTATATCTCCATATGGCAGTGTGCTTTTAAAAGAATGTGAATTGCTTTTACCATGGTTTGTAATAGAGGGCTTGCTGTCTCTCTTAACTACTTCTCACTGGAAGGCGTTTTGTGAATCTTTGTTGAAAGCACTTTTATGTTAAAACATGTACAATTTTATTTGGAAGAATTCTGAAGTGCATAACTATTCCGCTGTGCACTTTTATAACATTGGTCATTTTGAGATAGCTTTCTTGTTTTGTGATGGCCAATCATAAGGATCCATGACTCTTTAGATTAGTATCTGAAGTATACTGGGGCAAAGTATACTGAATTATATCTAGTGGTGGTCTAGATACAAATATAAAATGTAAAAATGGGGATCATAAAAACTTTTTAAATGTATGCTGCTTTTATAGGAAATTGGCATTCTACATTTTTTAAAATGACTTCAGATTTGCTCATTACAAAGTTTTTTTTTCCACAACTTGATTTGATTTTCTATGTAGTCAGATGTGTTTTAATTAAATTATAAATGAGATTAGTAAAGAAATGTGTGAAAGAACTGAGTGGTATGACATTTTGATTGTGTTTTTCCAAATTAAGAACCCAAAAATACATTAAAAGCAGATACAATATTGAAAAAAAAATATTTTCATCACAGGTTTTGTAGTATGCATGTCTGTTATCAGAAGCCTATGTTCTGACAGTATCTTTCTACTTTAACACATCTTCCCCAACTCACTTTCTACCAGAGTCAAGGAGCTAATTGGTATTATGAGATCAAAGTAGGTAGAAAGAAAGTCTAGAAAAGTGCTTCTAAATCTAGACCACACTGCAGTTTATAGAATATGGCTCTGGAGAGATCAAAACATTCAGTAAAAAAACAGCACCGTAAAGCAAAACCATCAATTTGCTGCTGACCCCACATAGAGTCAGATCTGTTAACAAAACTACTATGTTCTCCAGACAATGAGCGGATGCAATATGGAAGTTGCAATCAACTAACACAGATTGATAGCTGTGAGGTATGAGAAAACAGAAAATTTCAAAATTTTAATTTAAAACACCACCAGTGTCGGCATGGAGGAGAGACTTTTTTTCTCCCAAGAAACACAGCAGTAGTGCAAATTTCTGCTTTCATTCTGTTTTCATTTTGAATTTTGAGTGCCCCTTATTCTGTTTTTCAGAAGGTACCAGGAGATTAGGAGGGAGGCCATTTGGATTCATAATTCAGAACGCCAAGTTCAGTTTCCGTTTCAGGAGAAATCTTTCCAAAAACAACAGGGGAGGAAGGCACACAAAAACAGAATGGAATTCTGTGCCATTTTGCATACCCCTAGTAGTTATGATCCAAAGCATGAGAAAAAAATCTATCCATCAAGTCAATAAGAGAGAGATATGACAGGACTCATCTCCCTGCAATTATTCAACATCCAGTTTTGATAGTTGCTGACATCCCAGAAAATGCTGAGAACTAAAACCCGATACATTACATGAAAAAATAAATATGTGTGTGTCTTTTAAGTTTTCAAACTTATTTCTCAGGCATACTTCAAATTTTTTTGGAAAAAAAATAATATATAAAGGTTCAGTATGTGGAATGGGACCATGACTTAGAAGAAATTACTTATATCCGTGATTGTATCCACATTCAGAAGAACTTTATTTCAAATTTAGAATAAGGCAAAGATATTGGCAAAGACTGGATGGCCCTTGTGGTCTCATCCAACTGTATGATTGTATGTACTACCAGAGTGGGCAAAATAAAGGCAGTCTTCCCCAAATAAGAACTCTTCCTGTCAATGAAATGTTCCTGAATTCCCAAAATTTCTGATATTGCAGAGTGAGACAATGAAAATTATTTCCAATTAGAACTCATATGTACTGTGTTCTCAGTGCTCTGGTAACTATTCCTGCTACTTGTCTTTGGATGCCTAAACAAAATTTCTAAATGTTCAATTTCAAGATTTAAGTTTCTGCAATATGATTTAACTAAATTCAACTTTAAAATGCAATAGCAAGAAAAAAATACAGTGTTACAAGAAGTAAATTAGAGGGGATGTGCAGTTCTTGGACCCTGGTGTAAACAATGGCCTTGGTGGATTCAAACTACCTTATGAATGCAGTTAAATCTTACAATTGCATTTCCCCTAGATTGCCAGTGTTGAACAAATGACTGCAGTTTTAAAAATGGCATGGGATCAAATATTTCACTCTGGCTACATCCATTGCTCTCTTCCTCTATACCAGATGTGAGCATCACGCAGCACTCCGGATGATGGAGTACAATGGCCAGGAGCCATTGTCAGCAATACCAATAAGGAGAAAATCTCCGAGTTGTAGCCAATGAAAATTTGATAATTCCATTATTCCCATCCCTATACAGTCTTTGAGATCAGCTGTTGAATACAACATGGTTTGAATATATCAGCGTTTGAATCTTATCTCCAGATAAGATAGAGTTGCTGTTTATAGATGGTTCAGCTGGGCAGGGAAATAGAGGTTAAACAATTTTTGGGTAAAATTGAACTCTCCTTAAAAGGCCGGTGACCAAGAGCTAGTGATAGCTTTAAGGTGTTATAAAGCAGGGGTTCATACTTTTTCCACTCATGACCCCTTTCTGCCTGAGGAAATTTTTATGTGACAGCAGGTATATGGATATATGAAATAGTTATAAAATCAGATATTTACTGATAATAAATCAGCATTTACAAGCTGATATTCCTTTTTGTTGGGTATAGCTGAAGCATATTGTTATTGTTATTATATTCATATTATTAGTATTTATACCTTGCTTTTCTCTCCAACAAGGGGACTCAAAGCAGCTTACATTAAAAGCTTTTCAATACAGATTAAAATCTACAAATATACAAGCATTAAAACAGAATTACTGATAAATATAAATGGTATTAAAATATACACTTAAAATCCATAAAAACATCAACAAAGCTAAAAAACACAGCATCCCCTGACATGATCTTAAAACCTTAGTCTTTAAAAATCTGTTTGAATAAAAAGGTTTTAGCCTGCCACTGGAAAAACAGCAGGGAAGGGGCCATTTTGGCTTCCCTGGACAGGGAGTTCCAAAGCCGAGAGGCAGCCACTGAAAAGGAAAGCCCGCTCTCTCATTTCCAACAACTGAGCTTGAGATGGAGGTGGGAACATGAGAAGGGCCTCTCTTGAAAATATCATGGTCCAGACAGGTTCGTACAAGGAGATATCATCAGCCGAACGTATCTCCCTCTACGTCCCACCTCGAAGTCTAAGATCTTCTGGGGAGGCCCTGCTCTCGACCCCGCCTCTATCACAAGTGAGATTGGTGGGGACGAGGAGCAGGGCCTTCTCAGTGGTGGCCCCTCACCTGTGGAACTCATTCCCTGGGGAGATTAGATCAGCAACATCCCTCCTTTCATTTAGGAAAAATTGAAAACTTGGATTTGGGACCAGGCATTTGGACATTCTGGCAGCTAAAGAAAGGACTTGACGATGGAACTGGCAAAACAGAATGGAACTATGGAACTCTGAACGCTGAACATGAGAT